GGGGCATACGTACGTACTAATACGTACTACTCGTGCCCGTGTCCATATTACAGAATCGTTCAGTCGACCGCAAATTAGTTACGAAAACACCCAGGACAGCAGTCCCTGCTGCTGCTGCTGCTGCTGCTGCGGTGTGGCAGGATTCACACGGTGAAAGAGAGAGAGAGAGCATAAATAAATTCATGGAATCATGCAATACATTCTGGTCATATTTGTTCAGACCTCTCTGTTGTTTATGTGTTTATTTTTGCGTTTAATGCTTGCCAATTGCAGCTGCCCGCCGCCCACCGCCCGAATAAGCAAACAGAAAATATACCCGAAGCATTGGTGGGATTATCAAATCAAGTATACCACGCGTTGACCCCACCTCAAGGTTAACCGAGCCAACAAAAATATTATAACAATTCCTGACCATGGTCAATGGCTAACATGCAGCAGCAGGCATTGGCTGGCTGGCTGGCTGGCTGCCTGCCTGCCTCCCTTGCTGAATTTTCAGGCCAGTAGCAGGAGCAGGGATATCTGGATAGAGTTTTCATTTCAGGACATGTACGGCTTTCGCTCGCCCAGAAAACCAAGCTATAGGTGGCCTGCAGATACTCAATGAATTCTAAGAGAATACTTTAGACGGCTGGCCCATCCAAGGGGTATCTTTTAGTCGAATTTTTGACCCTAGCTTTGTTAGTTGTTTTGTTTACGCTCTTCGCTGGACGCGACGGACACATAATTTATTTTCGCTGCGATGTCCTTGCGTGTTGTCCTGTCTTTCCGTATATATATATGTGTGGTGTGTGTGTGTGTGTGTTTATGAGTGTGGTTGGGTGGATGAGAGTGGCCCTGCCCTGGCCCACATTGCCTGTGCTGTCAGCGCCTTGGAGATAAGCTGACTGCGAGAAATATGCTCGCCCGCTCCCCTCCCTAACGAATGTGCGAATAATGAGGAAATGGAAGGCGTAGCGAATGTGGTGCCCTCACATCCACCCTGTGTGTCCTGCCGGCCGCAAGAACACATAAATAAAAAGCACTACATCGACTTTAATTGGTCACGCCGGCCCGTAGGAGAATGCGAATGGGAAAGCGAACAGCGAACGCGGCTAAAACTGCGAATAAACAGTTAGCGGCCTCAAAGCTGCAGATGGTTGCAACGTAACCAAGACACGACGCACGAGGGCAGATCTTTCCCTCGCATATGGGAGAACGATACTACGATTAATTTCCTTCTTAAATAGTTGCTCCACTGCAATTACCTCGTGCTGTGACTCGTGACTTACACGACACGAGCGCATACCCAACAATGTGGAGTGTCCTGCCACTTCTGTTGGCTGTCTCCCTTTTCTGCTGTGGACGAGGTTAATATGGGCAACTGATTTATGTTTGGCAACAGTCGGGTAGCTCCACAGACAGAGACAAGAGCACAAGCACAAGCAGAAACAGAAACAGGAACAGAAACAGTCGGGTACACGCCACGGACGTGGCCATCTTCAGTAGCCGGCGCCAGACGCACGCGGCACATCCTTCATCCTTCAACGTTTGCCAGCCAGCCATCCAGCCAGCCAGCCAGCAACGGATTCTGGCTCCATCTACGTCTCCGTCTCTGGCCATGGGCCAGGGCTTGCGTGGCTCATCGTCATCGTTGGCATTATAAATGATTTTAATAATTTGAAACGATTTGTTTAGTTCTGCATCAAGTCGGATAAACGTCGATGATTAATTAGCGGAGTAAGGCCATGCCGGAGACTCGCAAGAACTACAATCCCGGCATTACATAAGCGTGTGCGCCGCCGCCGCCTTGGTGGATCCTTTTTGCTATCCACTTGGCATCGCTTCCGCATTTAAATGTGCGCCCCCCGCACTGTCGTTTCCCTAATCAACTTTTTGGTTTCCTCTCTCCTCTTTTTTTTGCCCTCCCTCCCGTTTTTGGATGTTGTGTTTGTTGATTTCCCAAAAAGCGAAAATTAATTGGCGCCTCCTTCTGATTCCCGCTCTTGGTTAATTGATAAATGGTTTGCTTTTGGTCGGGGCAGTGGAGTGTATGGGGGCACTATCTGCTTCCGACATATGCAAATGTTGTTGGTTCGTTTTGTTTTTTTTTTTATTTTTGTCTGCTGTTTTTATCATAAATGGAATTCGTCTGCCTCATGCGCCTGGCTTCCCTTTTGATTCGTTTCGGTGTACAACCGAACCCGAAACCCAATTGGAGTAATTAAATTTACAGAAATATAATAATTATTTACACTATGCAACCAGTTTGGGTGTCTGCACTTCCGACAAAACCAATTTATTTCCCTCAAAATACATGTGTAAATATTTGCACTGTATTGCAAACAGAATTCAAATTGAAATTGAAATTATTGTTAAAGGCTGGCAACTGCAACACACACACACACACACACAAGTACCAATATCCCTGCTGCTTCCATTTCCGACTACGCCCCCCCAACTTTAGTTTGTTTCTGCTGCTGCTACGACCTCTGGTTCTGGCCATTTATCTTGAATGCCATGCTGGCCAGCAGAACATTAATTCTAAAAATGTTTGGGCATTAATTAGGACTACTCATCTCATTGGAGCCGCTTGTGCTGCAGGTTGTGCCGCATAGATAGATAGATAGAGTATCAAAAACGTGTCCCGTTTCCGAATAAATATCTTCACACTACTGGGCGCAAAAACCCAATTTGTCAGCACTCGTATTATTGACACATTTAATCCATAATTGTCAACATTATTTGCCTGGATTAATTCAAGCCAATAAATTCAACTGAAAAGAGTTGTGGCTGGCTCGTATTGCTGCTCCTTTTTTCCTCCGCCACTCATTCGCCCTGGCCATCAATTTATTCATTTTAATAAAATTTCACTCTCTTTTTTTTTTTTTGTTTTGTTTTCCTGTCGCCAATCAAATGTGCGAATTAATATGCAAGCCAGGGGGACATTTTTTTGTAATATATTTTATTTCATCATGTTGCCAAAGGAAGTCCCTGCCAATGATTGTTTTATAATCCAATAAGTCATTCAAAAAGGCTGCCCACCACACACAAATTAAATATCCCCCAAGCGCTGGAGCTGGAGCTTCTGTTAAATTCCAGTCTAATTAGATGGTTTCCATTCATTAAAAATACGAGTAGCATTGCGCGTGGACAGTAGTATGCCCCACTATGCGATATTCCAGCATTTCGGCATTCGCGAAAACATTTAATTAATTCGAAAATCGAAATGCTTTTTATTCACGTGGCTGGAATAGGTAAATCGTATCATGGGGATTTCTTTTCATTCGCCTATGTCCCTTTCCGCTCTCTTTTTGGAGTCTTAATTACGCAAATGCATTCAATAATTCTTAGTTTTTATGCAATTTTCCCCTTTGTGTACTCTTAATCACATTTCTTGCCACCTATACTGGGTGCTGCTGCTGCTGCTGCTCCCATTCTGTATGTTGCACCTGCAAATGCGATTCAATTACTTAGGATAATTAAAAGAGTCCTACAGTCCTTTCCCAGCAAATGGACAGGTGAATGGACAGGAAGGATAATGAATGGCTGGGAAAAATTAAAAAAAAAAAAAAAAAAACTGACTGCACTCATCGTGAGCGTGGATGACAGATGATGATTATTGTCTTCAAGAGACAATAAACATCAGCTCACTTTGCGTTCCCATTATGTCAACTTTATCTCGTACTAGAATTTGCCAGAGAGAGATAGAGGAGAGAGAGAAGAGTCCACAAGGTTCAGATGTGGGCGAAAACAGGTTTTGATTGAATGACGCCTGCCACTGCCAGGGCGGATTAATAACCTCCACTACGCGTTCACGTCCATTGAGGCCATTGAAGCCCGAAGTGCTTATACCATTATCGGCGGCGGAAGGCCAAGCGAAAGGCGAATTTTTCAAATAAATCTTGCTCTCCGCTCCAAGAAAATATTCCATCGCAATTTTTTCATTACTTCTCTTAGCTTCTGCCTCTGCTGTTGTTGTACCCCTGATGAGAGGGGAGTATATTGATTTGGAGGAAGGAAAAACTGCAGACGAGTCTGTCGGTACCGCAAAGATCGCATTTCTACATCATAAACAAAAAAAAGAGGCATCTTCTAGTGACTATCAACAGGGAATTCCCTGTTTGGAATGATATCAATAGGCAATGGGTATCCACAGCTTCGACTCCAAGGATAGCTACCCTACCTTACTTGTTGTTGTTCGTTGTTTGCTGCATAGTTTATGGGGGGGTGGGGGTGGGATTTCCATACAACAACAAAAAAAAAAACCAATGGACGCAGCAGAGTTATAAATTTATTGCTTAACTTTAAAATACCACGGCCACAGCGCTGCGCTTGAGACGGCAAGCAGCGGAAAGGTCGCGACGAGAGAGAGGGAGAGAGGGGAAAAGTGAGCGCCTGTTTTCCCTCGCAATTACGAGTATCCTGCACCAAACGCAGCATCCAGGGGCATGCAGGGACGAAGCGACGTCTGCAGTGGCTGAAAGTTGCAAAAGCGTGCCGGAGGAAATGTGTTTTTCGTTGGGATGATGGCTGTTGGCTGTTTGTTGAGTGTTGAGTGACTGCGAATAATTTATTAGCTGCGTGAAAAATAATTTATGTTGAGTTTTTTTTTTGCAACAACTCCTTGTTGCCCCTCCTGTTGAATGCTGCAGGCGGAAGGCGCGAACGAGCGAGTGGTCATGGCCACTGCAATGGCCGTGATGCATCACAACAGATGCATTCTCCTTCTAAATCCAAACCAAAACCAAAACCAAATTCAATCGCTCGCCCGTTCGAGAGCCACTGGCCGTGTTGTGTGCGGGGTTGGTAACTTGACTAAGCAGCACAGTTTTAGAGCAATTGTGTCCAGGGGTTTTTGTGTAAAATACATGTAACGAGTGTGTAGTGTAGTGTAGCATTGCTGCTTAGATATGTAAATGTAGATTAAATCGGGTGGAAAGTAAATGCCAATTACACTGGGTTCGAATTGTATTCCGACACTGGGCGTGCAGTTCGTTTAAGTTAAATTCTGGTATTTTTATTAATGTATAATTATTACTGGAATACGAATACGAATATGAATACGATTACATTTTACATTTCACATTTAAAAAATATGACGAGAATTGCAACAAGGGTTAAAGAATTCTTACAGACTAAGCAAACGGCAAACGGCTCCCCATCATCTCATCTCCAATAGCCCCTCACACATCATCATCATGATCATCATCATCTCCTTCTCCCATCTCTGGGATGCCACGGATGCTGCAAGTGATTAGAAATACGTCTACGTCGGATTCGAATTAAGGATTACGATGGGCGTGGTTAGCTCGGGGCAGGGACAGGGACAGGGTGGAGCGGGACAGAGCACCGGAGGCAGTGGAGCAGTTCGGCGCTCACTTTGTCTTGGCGCTCCGTAAATTCGATGCAGAGAGCACGGACCGTGGCGGAGGCGGGCGATCGAGGCTGTCCATGTGGTAGCGACGCGACGGCGTCGACGTCTCATTCTTGCGGCCCAGGCGACTCAAGGTGCTGGCACTGGTGGCTCCATTGTGCGGCGGCGGTTTACGTGGCAGTGTGGACATCTGCAAAGAATGGAGGAGCGGGCCATAAGATGCTGAGACCCAAATGGGGAAGGCACTGGACACTCACCCGCTTGTTCTGCTCCTGCGAATAGTTGATCTCGTAGCCCTCGCTGATGTGCTTGGGCTTCCAGGGGGCCAGCATCGAGACGGATCTGGAAACGGTGCGCGTCATGGGCTGGAGGGGTGGTGGCTGCTGCTGCTGCTTGGCGGCTCCTGCTCCTGTTCCTGTGCCACCCTTGCGCAGATCCTCGCGCGACTCGGAGCGACGGCGCAGGTTGTATGGCTGTGGGATGTCGCCCACTGTGGTGGCATGCAGATAGACGACGCTCCGCTGGCTGTGAAGACTCGACTCGCCCTCGGTGCCCGAGCTCTCGGCCGGGTAGCGATCCCTGCAAAAGAAGTTCTTACTTAGTTCCACTCTCTCTCTCTCTCTCTGTCTCTCACCAAGGACACTTACCTGCCGTAGCCGACATTTTCCTGGCCCAGGCTGGAGAGCAGTCCCCGCCGCTCAGCACTGCGTGCGGGCTTCGGTGGACCCGTCAGCGGACGATCCTCGAAGCGCTGACTCCGCTGCCCATCCGCTGCCGATCTCTCCAGCGACATGGCCCGCTGCGTGGAGCTGCGCTTGTGTCGCTCCGCCGGCTCCGGCTCCGAGCCGCTCTCCGAGATGTCGTGCAGTTCGCGGGAGCGCGAGTAATGCCGCCGCTTGCGGAAATCCACCTCATCGCTGCCATTGTCCAGATGCTGCATGGAGCTGGCACGCTGGCGACTGCCCACTGCTGATGGGAGACCGCCCTGCGACTGGCCCGAGAGCGTGTGCCGATAGTCCCGCGAGGGTGGCGGCGGACTCCTGTCCAGATTATAGGCACTCTGCGAGTGCTTCGACTGGCCCAAAGACGGACGACTTCTGTGGATTGGATGCGAGATCGTTTAGTTGTGCCCCTGGCCAATGGGAGCTACCGTGGCATACCTGGGCATGCTGCTGGCCTTGGAGATGGTGGGCGGATTGGAGTCCAGATCGGTGTCGCCAAAGAAGCGCAGATTCTTGGCCGGTGCCGCCGTTGCATTCCGTTTGCTGCGCTTCAGGCTGGAGCTATTCTCACTGTGTCCATTGACAGACACATTCAGCTAGGGGAAACATGGAAGGGGGTAGAGCTTGGTACCTGGAGCTGCTCCATCTAAAGTGATTATGTATCTAGCTCACCTCCTTGGGACTGCTCTTGGCCCGTCGATCCAGTGACTTGAACCAGCTCGTCTTCTCCACCTTCACTGGCGACGCCTCCTTGGCCTCCTTGGCCTTCTGTGGCAGTTTCTTGGGCGGCTTGTCCGCCGGACTGCGCTTCAGCAGCAGGGGACTGGCTTTGGGCGTGGACAGTCGGCGTCGCATCGAGATATCGATAGTCTGTTTGGGGGATTAGCAGAAAGGGATTTATGTACATGTATGTATGTGTTGTATTCGCTTTCGCTTTCGGGTCAAAGGTTTACGTCACTTGCAACAGGTTGTGGCCTATGTGGGGCAGGTGGCCTTTGCACGAGCCGCAGCACACACACACACAACACACACAGCCTGAGCTCTGAGCTACAAATAAACTTGTTTTGCCTTTTGTGAATGCGCGTCGACAGTCGACAGTCGGCACACTGTTTTTGGCCGGCCCAATGAAACTTTGGCCCACTTGTGGTTGAAACTGTATTAGGCAGGCAGGCAGGCAGGCAGACAGACAGAGACAGATAGAGACAGTGTAGCGAAGGGGGTGGCTGAAGCTGAGGCTGTGGCTGTGGCCTGGTCGAGTGATTGGTTAAGGCCGCAATGGATATTGGATAAAGGTTTTCATTCTGCTTCGATTGCCCCCCCACCCACTAGAATATCGAATGGAATGGAATGGAATGTCGCAGCACCCACTAAATAATCAAATATTTAAATAAAATAAAATAAAACCCAGGAACCAGCGATCGACGATCGACAAACGACGATCGATGCTTGAATATAGTTTATGGCCCATGCTGATTATGTGATGGAGCGAGAGAGGGGCGGTTGGGGGCCCATAAATTATCAAACAGAATTATTGACACAAATTTGTTCTGTTCGTGGTTTCTTTTTTCGGCATGTAGAATCTTTTGGGGAATGAATGGCAGGGGCATGGCACTTAACGATTTCTTTGGAACACTTCGGGCGGCATGTTTTTATGAGCGAGCATTCGAATGGGTGGGGGAATGGGAATGGGGGAAGCGCGCTCCATGAATAATGGCAACGCATTGTCCCAGAGATTGGGGCATATATTTACCACCAATCGCTGCCCCCGCAGTATTCGGGCATCCAGCTTTTCCATCCTCCATCTCCATCGTACTCTCTCTCTCCATCCTCTTCCTCCATTCCACTTCGATCTCTCACACGCAAACATAATTTTTGACAACGGTCAGAGGCGGCCGACCACACCTTTTCGTGTGTGTGTGTGTGTTGTGTGTTGTGTGGGGCACGAACCATGGACAAAGTGTGCGTGTGCTCCTGCAGGATTGAGGCATGCCACACTCTTAGATTTGGGCATCGATTGTGTGCGCATTTTTTTGTTACCGGTATGGGAATGGTCCGAACCGAACCGAGCTGAGCCAAGCCGCCCCCACATGGCACATCCGGCAGAACGTGGCAGAAAAGTGGCAACATCCTCTTAGCCGCTCTTAGACTTGGCCAACAAATGCGCTCAAGCATTGCAAATTAGCTTGCAGCACGCAGTGGCAGCAGTGGCAAGTTGCATGTTGCATGTTGTGCAATATGGACAAGCAAACACCTCGACAGTAGCTCAAATCGTTTTGGAATCCGAATCGAATTCGGGGTGCAAGTCTTAGCCCCCCTCTGCCACGCCTCGTTCGCCCCACGTTCTGTTTGTCGTTTCGCTGTCAGCTTTCTTAATTTGCGAGCAAGTGACAGACGGACAAACTGACTGACTGACTGACTGAATGCCAGACTGACAGCAGCTGCTGCGTGGGCCCTGCTTCTACTTCTACTTCTAGGTCTGCCTCTCAGCTCTCAGCTCATCCCCTCCCTTCCCTGCATCTGCATCTCCATCTCTGGCTTAAAGCCCCACTCTCTTGACGCTTTTGTTCTGGCTTGAAATATTTATACGACGCCTCGTCGCCTGAATAGTTTCGTGTTAACGTTTTTCGTTTCGTTTGCAATCTCTATTTGGCCAGTTGTCGTTTATTATTTAAGCACAGTCGCTGTCGCTGTCACTGTCACTGCCTGCCTCTCTCTTCCCCCCTCTCAGAGTCCCAGAGTCGAGTATTTCTTTATGGTCTTGACTGTTTTGATTAGGTGCGCTATTCCATACGCTACACCAATCCCAGCCCAAGATGTGCCTCTAAGTGGACGTGACGTCTTGTCGTCTTGTCGTCTTGGCCTGCCACCTTTTTCGGCTGCGTACAACAACAGCCAGGCGACGCCCACCCGGCCTGAACGATGCCCATTGATGCCCCCAACGACTTGAGCAGGAAGTGGACAAAGACAAAGCAGAACAAATAGCCCGAACAGCGGCGAGGAGGGGCAGGGAGAGGCGAGCCAGCATCGACGCAAGTCTTGATTAATTCGAAATTAATAATAGTCGGCCAAGAGCAAATGATCGTCTGGTTAGGGTCTTGGCTATTAGGGTATCCGTGGGTGAATGAACCCTCTCTTTGCTCTGTTTGTGGCGCCATCAATTGGGCATTAGACAACCCAAAAGGGAGTGGGTTAGGGGGGGCGGGGTCTAGAGGGGTACCTCGGGTACTACTCACCTTTGGTTCGCGTGAGTTCTCCTCGGCTAGGGCCTGATGCTCACGATAGCGCGAACGCATCTCCTCCTCTCTGACCATATAGCGCTCCCTCTCCCTCTCCTTCTCCCTTTCCTTCTGCTTCTCCTTGTCGCGGCGACTCAAGGTGCTGCTGTTGCTGTTGCCATTGCTGAGGCGCTCCTTCTTGCCACTGGAAACGTTGCTGCCACTGCTGCGTCCGCTGCCGCCCTGACTGCCACTTGCAGCGCCCGTGAACAGCTGCTTGACCTTCTCGAAGCCCCCCAGCTTCTTGTTGCGCTTCAGCGTGCTGGAATCCTCGCGAGACTGCGACTGAGAGTGGGATTGGGACTGGGACTGGGAGTGCTGCTCGCGTCGACGCAGAGTGCTGGTGGCCACCGGATACTTGTCCAGATGCGGATCAAAGTGGGAGCCATCGTCGATGGAGCGCTCCCTGTACACGTAGCTGTTCTCCCGCCTCAGACGTGCTGGGATGATGGCCTGCCGTTGCAGTTGGCGCTGCTGGGCGCTGTCACGGCGCTCCTTGCGCAGAAACGACTCGCAGGCTCGCATGTCGTCGAGGGCTGTGCGTTTGCGCCACCTGCAAATAGGAAACACATCTAAGGATAGCAAAAACAGAGAGCCAAAGTCTCCCCCTCAGCACTCACTCACCTTGTGGTTAGATCCCCATTGAAGGACTCCTTGCGGAAGTCATTCTCAATGCCCGAATCGCCCTTGTCGAAGCTCCGCTGCTGCAGCTTGTCCCGCTTGAGGCTGCTCTGCCAATAGTCCTGCGGCTGATGCGACGACTGCTGCGGCTGCGGCTGCTGCTGCTGCTGCTGCTGCTGGTTGGGGCGCAGCTCTGGCGAGGATCGGTACAGATCGGTGCCCGTCAGCTGCGAGTCGAGGCTCTTCGGTTCGTGCTCCAGCCTGTCCGCCGAGTTGTAGTCGCGTTCGCGTTCCCCAATCCGTTCGCGGTGTCGCGACTCTCGGATCTGTCCGTCCCTTTGCGTCTCCCGCACATAGGTCTCCTTGACGCCGCCATGGCCGTCGTCGTAGTACTTTGTGTGGCGATACCGCGACGTCTTCTCCATCTTGGGCAGAGTGCCGTCCACCTGGGAGCGCTCCTGCTGCTGTGGATACTCGTGGGACAACTCCGTTGGCCGCACTGCCAGACGCTGGAAGCGCTCTTCATCTCTCTCGGGACTCAGGTAGACACGTCCTCGATCCCTGTCCCTCTCCCTATCCCGTTCCCTCTCCCTCTCTGGCTGCTGCTCCACTCTGTTGTGGCGCTCCAGGGTGGCGGCTCCCTCCCCGAAGCGACGGGTGAGTATGCGCGTCTCCAGCTGGGCCCTCCTGTAGCCCAGCTCGTCCAGATACGGCGCGGGACTGACGCTGCGTATCACGGGCACAATGGGCGGCTCGGGCCGCCTGGGCGGGTACTCCTCCTCGTAGTAGACCTTGCGCGGCTCATAGCCCAGGCCCTCGTCCTCGTCGCTGAGATTGCGCGGGCTGAGCTGCTGCCAGGGCGAGGGCGAATGGGAATGGGAATGCGAGTGGCTCGCTCGAGTGGGCAGCGGTGCTCCCCCGTTGGAGGTCGGGGAGTAGCTGCCCTGTCCGGGACTGTGCTGTGGCGGCCTGTCGTTGGCCCGCGGTGGCCTGGCTGGTGCGAACTCCCGCTGCGGGGAGCGCATGTCCCGGCCCAGAGGCGACCGCTGGCGTGTCTCGTCCAGCGGACTGTGGTCCAGCTGGGCGTAGGTGATGCCCTCGTTGGGCCGAATGTAGGAGAAGCCCGGCTGACTGATGTAGGGCTGCGGGGAGAAGCGCTCCATGGAGAGACGCTTCACCAGGCCGTCCACGGTGCGTCCCTTGGTGAGGGGCAGCCGCTCGGCCGGCTGCTGGGAGCTGTGCATGTTCTCGTTGGACTTGGCCTTCAGGGTATCGATGCGGTCGCGTATGCCCGCCGATATGGAGGAGTTGCCTCCTGTTGGGGCAGCTGCTGCTGCTGCTGCTGCTGCTGGGTGCTCCCTTTTCAGCAGGGAGGCGTCTGGTTCCACCTGGGAGCGGCTGCGGGTCAGCAGTTCGCTCAGTCCCGACTCATCCTTCTCCCGCAGTGTGACCGCGTCCGACTTGCGTCTCTCGCGCTCCCTGAAGTAATCCTTCTCGAAGAACTCCTCCCTCTGGGCCTGCTCAATGATGGGACTCAGCTGCTGCTTGGAGGCGCTGCCTGTGCCTGCGCCTGTGCCTGTGCCTGGGGCTGTGGCACTGCCAGTTGCTGCCTCTGGCCTCTTGGTTACTCTGCTGTCGGGCTGCGTCCGACCACCCACATCACTTTTGCTGCGCACTAGACGCCTGGCGCCGACGTCCTCGAAGCGCGGATCCCGCTCCAGCTGGCTGACATTCGAGTCGCTCTTCCGGCTGAAGAGGCCAAAGATCGAGGGCCGTTTGCTCGCTGGCTTCTTGCTGGAGGCGTCGCTGGCACTTCTGGCCACCGGCTTGCCCTTCTTCTTGCGCGTCGGCAGCGAATGGAACCGCTGGGCGTCACTCTGGCGCTTCTGTTTGTTCCTAAAATTGGATATATTGTCCCTGTCGCCGTTCGCCGCCGCCTTGCTGTGATGCCTGCCCGCCTGGGCGATGACCAGAGCTGCCTCCTTCCTGATGTCCGCTGGATCAATGTCCGGCGGCAGCTGATGGTAGCTCGGCCCTTGGCTGGACTCGTATTCGCTGGGATGTTTGCCTGCAAGAGAGGAGCGTCAGGGTGGGGGGATTAGCATGGGGCTTACACGTACATAGTTCCTCGAACTAGTTGTAATGACAAATTAGCACATTAGCCAGGCCAGGGCAGCCAGGCCAGGGCAGGCGATGATGTAATATCTGCCACAGCAGTTGGCAGCAAACAGCCGCCAGAGCTTAAGCCACAAGTGTGAATTGGCCACAGCTGGCTGCTAAATAAGGCAAACCTGTCCCACAGTCCACGGTCCGTCCACTCGGCCAATTCAGTCAGAGACGCGTCAGATCGCGCAAGTCTAACAATGAATGTGGCCCACGTCTGCAGCAGCAGCAGCAGCAGCAGCTTGTCGGTCTGTCGGTCTCTTGGATCCGTAGGTCTATGATGTGATCTGATGTGGCTGTGGCTGTCTGTGGCTGTGGCTGATGCTGAGGCTGTGATGTGTGGAACGCTTACTCTGTAATCGGGGCGCTGTAAGCGCTAATGGGGCATTGAAGAGGATTCTTCTGCGCAGTCCCACTGCTGCCCGTTGATCTATCAGTCTTCAGTCTACAGTCTTGTGTATTCTGTTCTGTTCTGTTGAGGGAATGTACGAGCATCTTCTCATAAAGATTCTTCCCACTTCCTCACTTTTTCATAATCATTATTATTTAATACGCCGAAAACAACAGCAGCAAAAACAACAAAACAACGCAAAACAAAACAGAAATGAAACAGCAAAGAGAAAAGAAAAACGTGCCACAGAACGAGCAAAACTAGATTTTTTTTCTGGCCAAGATGCGTGATCTCGTCTCGTTTCGTCTCTGGCAGTTAGCCTTCTTGTTGAACCTTTTTTAGATCCCAATGAGATGATGAGGAATCCCATTTCTTTCAGTACAGAGAATAGCAGAACCCCCCCAGCCCCCACCCAACCCGTAAGGGTTCTGACCTTGTCTCTAGATTCCAGTCTCTCTGGCTGGCAGTCTCCAGGTGCCCAGGTCCCCAGGTCTCTGCCTGTGCTTGACCATTCACCTGCACAACCTGTCACATTTATGGGCAGCTCGCAAATCGCTGAGCTTGAGCTGGAACCGCTCCCACATTCGCCTCGATTCGTGGCAGCCAAATGGCAAAAGTGACACCGATGTCTAATCGAAACTCAAACAACAATGAATAATGACAGAGCTGGGCGTGTCGTGTGCCAAATTGGTTTAGGCCAAATGGGATTGAAAACTGAAAAGAACTAGAGAACAGCAGGGGCGAGAGATACGAGTAGCAGTGGCACAAAAAAAAAAAGAAGGAATTTTAATACGAGAAGTACGGAGTACGGAGGTGGGAGGTAGGAAGTGGGCATGGGAATGCTGGGAGTGGATAAGCCAAAGGCATTCCACACTCCACACAGTCCATTCCCCAGTGCTCCAACTACATGCGAGTACTACATACATATGTACATATGTGGTGGCACCTCTTCATCACTTTGCAATCAGCTGTCTGTCGGGCAATATATGTGTCAAGGTGAAATGTTGCCACGCTGCAGCATGGCAAGCAGCAGGGGCAGGGGCGGTGGCATGGACAGCACCATGATGCGATCATGATGTTTACAAGGTTTCGTTTTGTCGAGGAGGCAGCACACATCGCATCGCATGCTCATTCCATTTTGAGCTGGGGGCGTTTTCTGTTGGCTTCTTTTTTGTCTTTTCCACAGGAAAACATAAATTCGCACTAAGCGACAGCATAGCTGCGTAGCTACGTAGCTTGTAGCTGAATCTGAGACTAAAACTAAAACTAAATTCAATGTCGGTTAACCGTAAAGTCGTTTCCCACAGATTCTGCAACAATGAGAGACTGTTGCTGCTGCTGCTGATGCAGTTGATTGATTACCAACCAAGTGGGAAAGGCAAAGGCAAAGGCGCTGAAAGCCATTCATTAATCTAATCATTGATCCACTTAATGGTATGCCATCGCCAGCTCCCAGGGGGCGGGCGGGCGTGCGGTCAGCTATAGCTGCCCAATGATCCTGATCATTCCATTGCCTGCCGATCTTTTGTTTTTGTTTTTGTTTTTCTGTGCGCTTTTCGCTGCCGATTTTGGAAAAGTTTTGCGATAAAATATCTGATCCACTTTTCTCCCAACTGGTCGCCCCAACTGCTGTCTGCCCTGCCCCCTGCCCCCTCCACGGGTGCCTGTGGCACTTCGGTTCCGGTTTCGGGCTCTGGTTGCACGTAATTTGTGTGTCGTGATAGCCAAGGTGAGCCTCCACTCTGCCGCACTCTGCCGCATGCCACAGAAATCACACTGACCAACTTTGAACAGAAATGGTACGTAAGTAAAACCAACAAAAATCAACTCAAAACTCATATATAAATAATGAAATCTGCGCTTTTGTGGCACGACTTTCACTTGCCACAAGTGGTGTTGTATGTTTTTTTTTTTTTGGTTAGGGGAGGAGGGGTAGGGTTTATGCCTGGTCCTGTTTGTCGATGGTTTTGCCTTAGTTTAATGATACAACGGCGGGCAGGTAATTGTCTGTCAATGATGAAGATGATGATGCGACGACCTCAACTTCGCTTCATTAAGAGTAACCACAACCACAAAGACACACAGCAGCCCCCTGCCCTTTAAGCGCCTTTCAAAAGATAGCAAAACGTTTTAGCTGGCAAAAATGCTTTATCCCCTGCTGCTGCTGCTGCTGCTGCGGCTGCTGGCCATGTCAGTGACAAGATAAGGTCGAGTCGAACGTCTGCTAAATGGGAATTCACCCGCATTCTGCGCCTGCCCCTGCCCCTGCCCCTGCTACTGGTCTAGCTTTGGGTCTAAGAATGGGTCTGGTCTGGTCTGGTCTCGTCTCTGTGGCATGCTAAAGATCTGCCCCTGGGTTGCCATGGGGTATTTCAATTAACCGCGAGCGCACTTTCGATTTCGTTTAAGAGGCAACATCCGATCCGATCCGATGCCGCGCTGGTCGATGCCTTGGCCTGTGGCCTGGGCCTGGGCCGTGGCTCTGTTTTATCTAGAGCTCTGCGACAGGCCGCATTTATTTTCTGTATGGAAAATAATTTAATGCTCTTCGCTGCTAATCGTCTGCCCCTGTCTGTCGCTCTGTCCTCTCCACCTAATCACATCAAAAGCGGCGCCGCGTCCTTGAGTCAGCAGCGCCCCAAGTATGCAAATGGGCGTGTTGCATTGACATGATCTCTACCACCGCCTGCCCCCTGTCGATGCAGCTTCGAGTGCAGACTCCAAACTGAAACCCAATTAAAATTGCTGGCTGCCCCATTCCAGCATGGATTTCCAGCATGGTGTGCGTGAATGGGGCAGGGAACTTTCGCCCCAAGAACGGAGGCAAAACAAAAGACTCTGGCGACAAACTCGTTTCTCCCTCGTCTCGAGGGAGCGAGTGAGCGGGCGAGCGCGAAGCTGTCAACAAAAAAAACACACACAAAACATACAACGAAATAAACAGAGTTAAAGAGCTCTAAAAATAATCTGCGACTCATTTCAATACACATTTCGATAAACAAATGACGCAATCGTCTGCAATTTACGTTTTCTCCCTGTTTTTTTTTTTTGTTGTTGTTTGTTTTTGCGACAACTGAAGTTGATCTGTGGATTGATTCGGTGAATTGATCGACAACTCCATTTACCCGAAATTTAAACAGAATTCTTAATGTTCCATGGGGCACACACAAACTCGCTCGAGGGGGGAGGGCACGCTATACAAATAGTACGTACGGCCAATGCCAATTCAGGCTGAGAACCCGACTGCGTCCAATATCAGTTTCAGCCAGAGACTGAAAGCAATATCTGAAAGCAAGCGAGCAGCAAGCGACTGACTGACTAACTGACTGACTGCCTACGCCAATGTCATTCCGGCCAAAAGCCAACACAGAGCCACAGTCAGAGACAGAGCCACAGTCAGAGACAGAGCCAGAAATAGAGCCAGAGACAGAGCCAGAAAATAGTGCGAAATTTGTGGGCAGGCAAGCCAAAAGCCAAAAGCTGAGCAACTTATTAATTAAGTCTGCTCTGGGGCAGAGCACACAGCACAGCGCAAACAGATGCGAGTTTAATGTGAAAATAAAAAACAAATTGTGTATGCAAATGCTGTATTAATAAAAAAGCATAAATGGCATTTTAATAGTAGCCTTCCCAGGCCCCAAAGATGGCACGAGCAAGAGCAGACAGAAAGACAGAAAAACAAGCCAGCCAAGACAGAGCAGTCGACAGACTCTTTGACAAAGTTCGCACTCGGGCAAATCAAATGTGGAGCTGAGCTGAGCTGTGTGGAGCTGCGTGGAGTGGCAGTGAATCGAGCGAGAGTAGGAAATGTAGCAAATCTCATAATAATGACTTGCTCTTTGCCTAATTAAATTAATTAATTAAATGTGTATGATCTCATTAAAGCGCAGGCAGGCGCGCTCACTCGCTCGCTGTACAGCTGCCACATAATAGAGAGGAAATATTGTGGCATACGGAGAAATGGTGAGAGCAACTATTACGCAACTGTGGCAACTGTACTTGCGCCTGTAGCCCCTGAAGCTGTAGCTGTAGCTGTGACTGAACCAGAAACTGTCCTCCTACAAAGCCCACGCTTCTACATGAAGTAACGCTGTGTGGACTTGTTCTCGCTTAACGCTTTTTTAATCGCCCATGAAAATTATGTCATCGACATCTCAGCTACTCAGATACACACACACACACACACCCATACGACACCTGCTACAAGGCTGAACGAGACAGAAGGTCTCTGTCTGTAAGGACGTCTCCAGATTGGCATAATTTCAAGTACGAATTAAGGAGGGGAAAAACAGCATTGTCCGCCTTCAAGAAAACTTGCAACTTGCCAAAGTGCATTTACCCATCCAGCAGCTGGCATCAGAGAGACCCCGAACCAAACCGAGACTTGTTTTAGCCAAATTTGTCGCTTCGCAAGGTTGAAGCTGTGCGCATAATCGAGGCTTGCCTGTACCAGGCAGCCGAGCAGCCTCAAATTAGTCGTCTTTCAGTTTATTTCTCTCATTTTACAGTCAACAACTTTGACTTTTGACTGCACTGTAATTTAGCCGTAAATTCACATGTTAACTTGTGTGCTGAGTGGTCTGGAGTGGAGCGGAGTGGAGTGGAGTGTGGAGTGTGGAGTGTAGTGAAAAATGCTACCTTGTGCCTTATGTGCCCAGCGGGCGAATAATTTTCCTTCTTCTGTTTTTAGTTTCCATCATTTTCTGGTTTGCTGCTTTGCTACTTTGTTGCGTCAAAATTAAATCATCATTAAATATGTGCTTTACACATAATTGCTTTAATTTGCATGCTAAAATAGCAAAGAAAGAGAGAGACTGACATTCGTTTACAAGTTGAGGCATTCAATTAAGCTAAACGCTTGTGACAGAGGTACACAAAAAAAAGAAATATAAATACAGAAACAATTCACATATCCCATGGGTTGGACAAGAGAGATCTACCAGTAATCTACCAGTGTTAAAAAAGATACAAAAAAAAGATACATATGTAGATCTCTCACCCCTAAACAAACGAAAAGGAAACGAAACGCTGTAGCTACTGCAGTCTGCTTAGGCAGAGGAGTTCCCCCCATTAAATGAAGGTTACTCCTAGGCACCTATTGAGGGTCTTCCCACACAGATTGGCGACCCCCCCAAATTAAATATATTTACCCAAAACAGTAGCTGAGCTGCAACTCCAATTAAACGGCTAATTAAAACCAATTTGATATCATTTGTAGAACGACATAACGAGGGCTAAGACCCCGACAGAAATCAGACAGAATCTGAAGCAATTGAATGCCGGCAGATTGCCGCAATCTTTGCTACAGTTTTTGGGCCGACCTCGGCTGGCGGACTGCGCTGCCATTTAACTAAACAAATCCAGAAATTGCAATTAAATTCGTTAACGTCAAGTCAATTAACTCTCGCGGGGGCAAACCGAAATGGCAGGCATTTAAGGCTGCGCATTGCGCATTGCGCAACGTGAAAAATCTGGTCCATAACCATTTTGGCCAGAAACCGAACATCAGACACTTTGCAGCAAAGCCATAAGGACTTACGAGTATGGTTAATTAGCAATGGAAATCCATAAGGAAATGCCAGCCAGCTAGAGAGTGAGTACGAGTACGAGTATTCCGTATGGCCAATGGCAGCACATACTAAAATTGGGGGGTACGGACCCCAGAAAGGCACACAGATAGGCAGACAGATAGACAGACAGACAGTCAAACAGATGGGAAAGGTGAATGGTTGAGACTCTCTGGCAGTCTAAGTAATTAACATTTGTGCAGGTTTTGTCATAATCAATTTTTAATTTCTCCATTCCCCTTAGCAAGATCACGACGACAGTTGCCATAAATTGCAGCCAGCTATGAAATAAATCCCATGTCGTTGCTGTCGCTGCTGCCAGACATAATCATAACAATAATAATATAGTCGCAGCCAAGTGACGCTGGGGGGAGACAGATGCAGTGGCTCTTGTGGTCTTGCTCTTGCTCTGGGTCTGTCTCTGGCGTCCACTGTTGTCCGTCGCATGTCTCCTTCTGCCTCCGACTGAGAGATGTGCAAAATGATACTGCAGCTGACTGCTGCTGCTGCTGCTGGCTCTCTGATCTCTGCTGCTAGCTCTCTGACTCGTAATGCCTTATAAAATATCAACTTATATTAAATAGTTATATATGGTGGTAGGGCTGGATGGGGGGCGCTCTCTACTTTGTCTTGGAGTGAGGTGAGTGTGAGTGCGAGTGTGACTGCGAGTGTATCTGTGTGAGTGTGAGTGTGTGATGATTATTCTCAAGGTAAACTACATTTTTATTGTTGAGGGGCGGCTTTTGTTATTGTTATTATTTTTATCGCTTTTGGCATTCGTTCTGGCTTTATTCGCCCACTACCAGCACGAGGTTTCTTTTTGTTTTTCTTTCTTTCCATATGGAGGAAAACCTTATGATTTTTTTAGCTTGTTGTGTTTTTTTTTTTGCACAAGGAAAACTTCAAGAGTTTCTCAATGTTATGCAAGCGAAGATGGAAAGCCTCTGGGGCCATCCATCCATCCATTCAACATAGAACAACTACTCACTGGCTGGCTGACTGACTGACTGACTGACTGACCAAGTAAATGAGTTGCATTCGTGGGGTGGTTGGTGGTGGTGGAGCGAGGGGGGGTAGTGGACGTACGTTGAGCGCGAGGTGGAGTGGATTCGGTGCCTTGTGTGGGCTGCAAGCCTGCGTCATTGATTGACCAAAATTGGGCTACACACTACACAAAGAACAGTAGGGGCGCTACAACATATACGTATACGAAGCTGTAGATACCCTCAAAGATCAATCAATAGTTTCGATAACTAAATTCAATCACAGCAGAACGAAGGATGCACTGATGCACGTACTCAATTGTAATTAATGGACTCCGGCACTCCAAATAATCGCAAATACCCTTTTTTTGGAAAGGGTACACAAACAGATAGTTAGCTGGTAAATACATACATATGTATGTATACATATGTATGTATGTATGCATGTATGTATGTACATGTTGGATGCCACTTTGTTAGTAATTTTTTGCTGTTGTTTGGATCGTTATTGATGAGATTTCTTTGGCTGGTTTTTTGCTTAGAGTATCATTAGAGAGAGAGAGGAGGAGGTTCGTGTTGCTGGTTGGTGGTTTATTTTCTATTTTTTTTTTTTTTTTTTTGATGATGCGCGTGTTAGTTATTTACTGGCAATTGGGGTTACGCTTTTGCGAGGGAGATGGTTTCCTTATCAACATACACACACACACAACACACACACAGCACACACACACACACTGACCTATCCGCTTCACGTGCACATCCCGGTTGAAGCTGACGCGTGGTCCACCATTTGTTGTTGCTGCTGCTCCAGATAGCTGTTGTTGCATCTTAATGGATTATAGTTGATTCCTCTCAAGTTGTGTATTTGTTCTCTCTCTCTCTCCTTCTCCTTCTCCGTCTCCGTCTCTTTGTTTCTGCTTTTTGTTCTGTCTTTGTTATTCTCTCTCCTGTTTGGGGGGGTATCTTCTCTATCGGGAAGAATTTGAAACCCTAAGTGAACGCTTTGTGTGACAGTCTCATCGAACTGCTTGAACTGCTTTTCGCATTTTCCATTTAAGCAGGGCAATTTAAATGGTTTTCAGCTGCAAGAAGAAACAATTCTCAAAAATATACATATAAAACTCTATTCTTCGTTGGTGGTGTGGGGAGGGGGGTTTTCGCTGTTGTTGTTGTTGTTTTTGGGTTTTGTTAATTGTTGTGTGATTATCTGATTATCGTTTTTATTATCCAGCTCGAGTTAAGATCGCAGCTCGCTGTTAGACTTGTTACACGCTCTCCTTCACTCTCCTTCACTCCACTTCACTTCATTTCTTGTGGTTGGTTTGGTTTTAGTTTTAGTCTGGCTTTTATTTGTATTATTTATTTGCATTTTTTGTTGGGTTTTAGATCTGTTTTATGTACGTGTCCGCTTGGCAAGAGAAAGTGTTATTGCAATTTAATTTGTTAATCAAGAGGAGAGAGAAAAACAGAAAAGGGTATTAGAATAAGAAGGGCTTTATACCCTTTAGGATTTCTCTAAGAATCGTTGCCCAAACATTATAAATTATATTCTACAGTGCCTTAAGTATTCGCACCCCTTATTTTTGACACCGATAGAGTTCCACTCTTGTCACATTTATTAATTTCATCTGTCTGTGAATATTGTGCATACCTTGCCCCCTTAAGGGGTACCAACATGACAGCAGTCAAAAGAATAATTGCCAATCAATTCGTATTCGTATTCTTATTCCGTTTCTGATTCTGATTCCCACTCTGACTGATCCCTCAGTTTCGGGAGTGGGGCCCCCAATCGAATCGGGCTTTTATTTATTTATTTTATTATTTTTGTTCTTTTTGTTTATTTTTCTCAGACAATTACAAAAATAGACACACGATGAGGGCGCTTGGTGCTGCATACGAGATTCAAATTCGATTTGCCATTGTCACACGAGCGGGGAGGGGGACCAAAGAACAGACCACAGCAGAGCAGATCAGAGCAGTGCGAAGGAGAAGGAGAAGGAGAAGACAGAGACGAAGTATAGGACTCACTCGCCAGGTGAGTTTTCCAGAGTGCACGAGCATGCCCCGAGGAGTGGAGTGGAGTGGAGTGGAGAAAACTGTAGAAATATTGATTGCGATTAAGCAAATGCGATAATATTCATATTTGAATACGAGAGCGCACACAAAACTCTATTTAAACAATGCCCTATGCCCGAGGAGGAACTTCGGACTCCCCCCGCAGTCCCCGTATGGCCACGAATAGATCCCCCAGAAGAGACACGCACACCCACCACCACCCAGGCACAGACGCACACATGCACAGACTGCGAAACGAGACGAGACTGGACTAGGGAATGGCAAATCTTGTATACCCTTCAGAGATGGCAGGACGACGCATGATGCTTTGGGCTCTCTCCTTGCATAGCTCTGGGAAGCGCAATAATGTGTGCAAAATGCATGTCTATTATGGCACCTGGACAGGCACTGGGACAGCCATAGAAAAGGAGACCAGACCAGAGCAGAGCAGACAGCTTGGTCGCTTGGTGGCTTGGTCATTCACTTACTGGCTTACTTACTCGCACAGAGAGGGAGAGCCCAAAGCCAGGCTCAGACTACTCGCAGGCCTTTCCGCTCTAACAAGCACAATCGCCCCGGCTAGACATCAATGGCATCAACAACGTCTGCCTGATCATGGGCACCGATGGACACAGTGCCAGGCTGGTTCCTCAGCTCCTCGGCCAGTGCTCCATGCCGTGCCATTGATGGGGTGGGGTGGGGAGTGGGGGTTTAAAAAGCGCTGCAAGCTGCCAATAAAAATCCTTTACCATATAATTTGAGTGCGCATGCGTGCGCCCTGACTTTGATGGGAAGCTCAACGTGAGGCTGAAGCTGAAGCTGAAGCTGGGGGACTGGAGCTGCAGACTTGGCAGATGCCGATGTCTGATTCCTGATGCCGATTGCTGAGCGTTGATTGCGCCATGAACGTGATTTGTTTGTAAACACGCATTATTAAGGTGTAATAAACATAAAATTTGTATCGCTTCGCGGACCTTGGAGTCGCAGTCAAAGTCAGCGTCAGCGTCAGAGATGCAGTTGAAGTTGTTGGAGTTGTACCCGCAGTTGGAGCACTCGGTTTGTGTCTTTGTGTGTGTGTGTTTCTTTCAATTAAACTAAAAAGTCTAGACACACAATGTCTCACTCAAGTGCAATTTTATTCTAATTTCATTCGTTCATTCACAGTCCCTTCCTCTCCCTCTCCCTCTGGCTCTCGCATTTGCATTTGTTTGGCTAATTTCGTGTAGAATTACTTGAAATTATACAAATTACATACATGGTACGTACATGGGAATGGGAATGAAAATGGGATTAGATTAGTGCGCAGAGTAAACAATTTAGCCATAAAATGACTCAAAAGACACCTCCCCCCTTTATCACGGAGCGAACGAGCGGGGGGAGCCCACAAAGAACACAATAATCATTCTGAACTTGAACTTTAACACTGCGGTAATGATAGGCAGGGCACCCAGACCTCAGAGCCCCAGAACCCAACCCCAATCCGTACTCCGTATAGCCAACAGCCAACAGCCATGTGGCCGGCCGTGTCAAGTGAAACCAAAAGTGCGCCGCAATTCGAGGCACAGGCAGAGGCAGAGGCAGAAGCAAAGCAAACAAACGTCTCGCCGGTTGCCCACTTTGCGTGTGTTCCCAGCGGTTGCCGCCGCTCTGACCTCTGGGGGTCTGGGGCTCCGCATCAAGTCAAGGGAGAACGAGCCGTGCACTGAAAGAAAATGCCAGCAACAGCAGCAACCCAAAGCTAAGAAGCAGAGAATCTGCCCCATAGATAGATATACATACATAAGCATCGATAGTTATTGGAACTATAATCTCAGCTTGAAAGATGTGACTGATATTTCATTCAGCAGAATGCAGCATTTAATATCCACTGGGAACATCAACGGATATCGGATATTGTATATATCCGCCATGGGAAGATAAAGAGAGTGGAGTAGTAGAAGGAATCTTCCATCTCCCTTTGCTCGCTTCAAATGTATTCCTGGAGGAGAATTTTGTTTGCTACTACCACAACTTTTCGCTCAGTGCAGTGCTCTGAGTGAGACGGACGAGTGCGGCCTTTTGGTATAGAAGTGAAAATGAAGGTGTAGTCCAATTTGTAAGTATGGCCAAGCCCTGTGGCCATACAAAGTCCAAGCCAAGTTATGCAAAGATCAGCTCCGTTGCTCCAGCTGAAGCTACAGCTACAGCTCCTGCTGCTCCAGCTACAGCTCCCTCTGGAGTTGGGAATCAATGTGGCTGGATGGACTGTTGGACTTGCTGGACCTTGTCTAGCGCACATTTTTCCATGCGTGCTTTAGCGAGCGGTTCGGTTCGGTTTGGTTCGGTACGAAGCGGAGTAGCCGCTTTGTTGGTGGCGCTCGTTCGCGTCTTCGACTTTGGCAAATACTTAATTGCATTTCGATATCTATGCTCAGGCATCTGTGAGTGAATGTGAATGCCGCCGCAGCCGCAGTCGCAGCCGCTCAATGCCCCAGACAGTGGACAGGTCTGGACAGCCAAAGAACGCGCCGGCGCTGTCTTTGGCAAGAAAAACGGGATGGGTATGGGGATCGGTATAGAGTCTGGGGGCCCACTAAGAATGCGAATGCGCGAGGTCTCTGGTGAGTTGAAGCTGCAGACAGGCAAGGAGAGAGAGTGATAGAGAGAGAGGGAAAGGGGAAAAGGGGGAGTGACGTGTTTGGTGGGGCATATTGTCAATTCTTACAACTAAATTCCCCTTGTGCGCGCGATCGTGCGCTTTACTAAGGAAATTAGTAATTGCTACTCCCATTTAGAGCCATCGAAATCCACTCGGAACGTATCCACTATGAACGTGTAGCATTTGTTAAGATGATGACAACAATGGACGATGACGATGACGAGTTCTCTGTTCTCTGTTCTCTCCGCTGTGGCCAGCGCCCACTCACATGCGTCGTACAGAGGCGTCGATCGAGATCGAGATCGCCCCAGGGGTTTGAGAGTCTGAGAGTCTGTTCGGCTATTGAATGCATGAAAACTTTAATAGAATGATGGGAATACCAAATGAAAAACCAAATATGATTCATCTGCTGGAGTGTGGGGTTCTGTTAGCCCCCTCCAAACCCCCCTCACATCACACGCAAAGCTTCGCTTTCTGGCCAGCGGTCACATTGTTTGTCATCGCTTCTGTGTGATGCACTGCCGTCGTTTTCACGCTTTGTTAGCCACCTAAACTGTACACTGTATACACTGTGTATCTGTATCTGTATCTCTGCCGCTTAGAGGAAGCTTCCCTTTGTGTGTCGTCTCAGACTCAGACTCAGCCACAGACACAGAGACAGACACAGACTTGGACGCGGTTTATTATGTGTGTTAGAAGGTTAATCTTTGTGGCATTACATGGCAACTTTTGCCACCAAGGGTGGCAAGTGCTGTCCGTCGGTAGTTGCCAGCCACATGGCGGAAAATGTGAATAAATTTCTATCTTCTCTCCATCGTGCGAGAATTTTTTTTTTTTGCATGATTAATCTATCTGCTCTTCGCCGCTTGAGTCCGCCGGGCCGCTGGGCAAATTGTTGTGAACCATGGAAAAGATTTCACTTTTTCCAAAACTCCTCATAATTAGCGGTCGCTTCGGTCGGGGAGTGTATGGATCAGTGGATTATAATCCAGATCCAGAGCGAGAGGTAAGAGTGCTGCCTAAGGGGTGGTGGGGGGTGGGCATGTCATAGCTGCAGGCTGGGCGACTTTAAACCTGTGCGAAAATCAATTAGATACGCCGACACACACACACACACACCACAACATCGATTGTACAGACAGTAGAGAGTTTACATCGATCGATCGATCAAAAAGTCAACAAAAAATCCACTTAAGATCTGGAGATCTGGAGCCCGATCATTGCCCGATACCCAAAACGAGATGCAAAACAAAGTCATGTGTACGCTTATGAGTGTAGATTAATGGGCATGTAATTATTATCCACGTGAAAGATACTTCAGGCACCTCTTTATTTATTTATCTATCATCTCTAGCTGCTTTCGCGTGCCAGTCGCTTAGCGCCATTCCC